GATAAGGCAAATTAATTTGTCACAGCTTATTTCTGGTCACATCATCAGAGTGCCAGTCATAGAGCTTGGAGTGGCTTCACATTGAGATTCAAGGAGAATCACTGTGAGATGCCCATCCTCATATAATTCCATCAACACTGAAATCTTAGACCCGCAGTAGATCTATCAGTGTGGTGAGCTGAGAGGGGAGTGTAGATTTTATACCTGAGAGACGAGTCTAGATGTTACTCCTACAATAGATATGGGTGTGATCTGCCATGGAGAGTATAGATGTTATGCCTACAATTGATACGGATGTGGTGAGCTGAGGGAGGAGCGTAGAAGTTATACTTACAATAGATATGGGTGTGTGGAGGGGAGACAGTAGATATTATTCCTATAATAGATACGGGTGCAGTGGGCTAAGGGGATAGTGTAGATGTTATTCCTACAATAGATACAGAAACATCTGAATCCACAAAAGGGTTAACAGCACATTCTCATGCCTCACTGCGTGTAGATTACAAGGTGATCTATTCGAAATGAATGATCTTTCTAAAAAAAAAAAAAAAAGATGCTTCTAACGAGAATGAACAAGTCAGTGCATACCCTGTGAAGGAAACCCCCACTAATTGCTCATCTGTTATTGCTGCTGAACCCTCGCCACCTGCTCCTGCGAAGGCAGGCCTTCCTGAAGTGCTTTTTTACAGGGCAGCTTTTACACTTACTGGCAGGTCTGCAGAAATGCCTCATTTTGTTCATACATCTTCTAGACAAAACGCGTGATCTTTGATCTTAAGCCCCACTTATTATTATTTTTTTGTCCAGCAGCGGGTGTGGAGCAGCAGAGAATCGCAGCTCCTGTCCCGAAATGAGCCAAGTGCGGCAGATATATCCCTGAATCAGTTTCAGATCTGATTTTCCACAGGCCGTGTCTTCAGCCCGGCCTCCTCCTGACCGATTTGTGAGTGAAAACCGTGAGGTTTTACTGGCAGGGGAGGAAAACGGAGCGTCAAAAGAGGAGAGCGAGAGGCGGCGGTCGGCGAGGGCAGCTGGGCCATTTGCAATTGAAAGCGCGGCTGTGGGTAGCTCACTCGCGCTCCTTGGAACGGAGATCCATGGGAAGATCGGGGCTGCGCCTCCCTCGCTGCGGCTCCAGATGGAAGGGGTGTGGTTTAATTCCTTCCCCACTGCTCTCCTGGAAGTGCTGGACAAGGCCCTTCCATCCCCGCAGCATGGAGTGGAACCATTCGCCTCCCGGGCGGAGCGTGCTGCAGATTGCAACCCAGATAGAGGCCCAGTCAGTGACAGGCAGAGACTCTGCGTCTGACTCCAGTGTCTTCAAATGCCGACCATTAGATCTCTGCATCCATTGGCTCAATAAATGCAGCTATCCATAACATTTCTCTCTATTTTTTTTTTTAGATTTCTTTCCTTTTTATATTCATATTTACATTCAGGCATAAAATATCAGGTAGAAGGCAATTAATTAGTCTGCGTCTTTTAACGACCGGGGAAGAAAAGACACATGAACTGCATCAGATGGACTGCATTTTGCCCTGAATGTGCAGTCATCTGTGAGCAGACAGGAAGACAGCGCGGTCCCTGTGTGTGTGCGCTCTCCCACCGAACTCCCAGCTGCCTCCTCCTATAAGACGGACGTCTGCAAACTGGATGGGGCCGGGCACAGAGGAAGGCCTACCTGTTCCCGTGTGTGTGTGTGAGAGAGAGAGAGAGAGAGAAGGAGCCGGGTGTGCGGTTAATGTCACACACTCAAGGTGCACAGTGGACTAACAAAAGGACGCCATGAAACCTTTGCTATCACTGTTTACCGGATATTGTAGGCTGTAAATAAATGTGGAAATTGGTATCACCGAGAAGATTTCACATTCTCAAATCAGCAGAAACTGTCCTCTTTCCTTTTGGTGGGCTCAGCTCCAAAAATAAAGTTTTTTTTTAGTCAGCACTGAACGTACTGGAAATTACTTCCATTAACCATTTCTGTATTCCCCAATTCTTCCTGAGAACAGCAATTGCAGTTTGGTTAGGCTTCAGGTGGAACTAATGCAATGTGACTTTTACACTTGATCAGTCTCAGCAGGGCTTCAGATACGTTAGAGCGAGGTCAAATCTGTATCCTTACAGGTAGAGGCATGCACACTCTCTTCATTCGGTATAGAATGCATTTTGGCATCAAGTAACATGACTGCTGTAAGCCTAACTTCAGAGAGACCCAATTGTATTATCAGAGGTCTTTTATGGTCTGTGTTTTAAGTGCTTATGCTTCGCTAATAAAACCGATACAGCAGGGAGGAGGTCGCAAGCCAGGCTCCAGTCAGGATGGAGAACTGTGAAATACGATGGAAGGAAGGGATGCAGATTTTATTTGGGCTAGGGTTTTACGAAAGAGGAGGCGAGGAACGAAAACAGATAATAGCCTTTTTGGTTTTCGGCGTAGGAGGAAGTACAGGCATAAGGTCCTGGGAGGGGCAACAAATGGGATCAGCCACAAAGGTTTGCATGTCTGGTCTGGGAGAGACCAAATATCCATCCATCCACCCATCCATTATCTTGGAATGGCATACCCTGGTCAGAGTTGCAGAGTGAGGCAAAACAGAAGGCAGTTTTGTATTGCCAGTAATTAAGTACAGGTGGACAAATGTTATCTGACTGTCACCTGACTTTGCCCTTCCCCGGGATATCTAAGCTCTGCCCTCAGGTGCCATTTTCAAATTAATTTCACAAGGACAGAAGGCACCAGACTGAACAAAGCAGCTTTTGGTGTCATGTTCCTTATTATACTGAATTTCAGAGTATAGGTATTCGGCACCTTTTTATGTAGCAATATCTGCATAAGGCATATTTTTCATATACCATTGATTCGAATTCTGTTTTATGTTTTTCATTTGTAGGCTAGCAGAGAATACTCTGTGTTGAGAGAGGCGGTGGCGTTTTGGTGGGATTCAGGCGTAAAGCAAATGCGCCAAATTGTAGGACTTCGCTGCAGTTTTTCACACCTTTATCAGCTCGCACAAGCATGTAAATGAACTACCCTCCTGACAAATGGCAATGCATGATTCCCTTACGCCGCGCTCGGAGACAGAACCTTTGTGTGCCGGCGTTGCCCATTGATAAAAAAATTTTTGATGGCTTTGAATGAATTTACATTTATGCTGTAGTTTGAATCAGAATTGTAATTGATGGTTCTCTTAGCCAATCAGATCCAACAATGCCAAAGTGCCCGGACGTATCTGTGGATATTATGCAACTACTGAAATATTGCCTTTCAGATCTCTATGTTCTGGGACATATTCCTTGATTTACAGATGTGATACCATGTGACCACTTCCAAGAAGCCTTGCTCACAGTCATTCCTCAGATGATACTGATATGTTTTTCCCTCATAGACTTTGGTCATAGTGTTGCCTTGATGCTCTTGTTTTATTATCCCTTTCGTCTTGTTACTGGATCTGTCCACATCTACTAAATCCTCATCTGTAGGGAAAGTAGTGACAGTGGATATTATATTACTATGAGATCTCAGCTCTGTACTCAGGGACCTGACAGAATTTGGTCTGTGGGGAAAGAGGACTAGCCATCATGCATACTACACGGTACTGTGCAAAAGGCATTCAAAGAAAATGATGTATAAATGATCTTCACGTTTTAGCTTAGCCATTTCAAAACGTCTCATATGGACACACTAGTGTTTGCAGCAACCATACCATGTAATTTTTTGATTTTGGCCTCTAGCATACATTGTTTGGCTCATCAGTACCAACTTATTTAACTGATGAGGCTAAATAATTAAGTGAGCTGGTTGTGAAATTTAATAAATACATGGAATGGCTGCGGTGCCCCTGAGGAGAGGTTTGGGAACTAAAGTGGTTCTCTTCTAGCAATCAAATAAAAGATCACAAACTTTTTAGAGAACAGAAGAAATTCATCTTAGGTTTTATTATGTTACTGTTCATTTGTGTATATTCTAATGTTTAAGTGTGTATTTTTTTCTGAGCAAATATACACTTGTTACCCAGATAACTGTTTTAAACATACTGTGACTGGCTTGGGGCGATGGTGATGCAGGAGGTAGTGCTGCCATTTAGCAACCGGAGGGTTGCAGGTTCGAGCCCCGGGTCCTCCTGACCCCATTGAAGTGTCCTTGAGTAAGAACTGAACCCCAAATTGCTCCTGGTGAGTTGGTTGGCACCTTGCATGGCAGCCTCTGTCTCTGGTGTATGAATGGTGGTACATTTAATCAAAACAATAGTACATTGTTTTTTTTTGTTTCAATTTGCAAAATGGCATGTCTTGGAGCACAGCTACCTGTAACAATATCACACAGCATTATTGCAAACAGAGGATCCACATGTAATCCAAGGTCCCAGATGACCACAGTGAAGGTAATCTCGATGCTTTTGACAGTAGTAGTGACAGGTGTCATCTCAGCCTACATACATTTACGCCTAGGTGAATCCTTGATAACTGTATGTTTGTCAATTTGCCTAACTTAGACGTCGATTGGTCAAGAACGTCTACTACATAAATAAATGTGTGTCACCAGACTTGTATACTGCTTTGTTCTTAATTTAATCTTCCTTCTAGCATGTAGCTATCAATTAAGAAATGCCAGAGAACTACCTGTGTATCGAACAAAACAAGCATCGATATTCCAGAGTCATTAGATCGCATTCAATAATAAGAATCTAGCAGAAGCCCCAGTTCACAGCCAGGTGCAGCGGGTTGTCGGGATTTAGATTTTATAGCTCGGGGGTTATGCTTCTCTAAAGCGTTTGTTTTAGTTTCCGCATCATGAGAATGAAATCGTGACTACTGACAATTTATCATCGGAAATAATTATTTCCATTTTAATACTCAGATACGCCCCTCTATAAAACTCCACGCAAACGCGTGTTAGTTTGTGCATGTTTATGTGCTATTTTCTTGGCATCTACTTAGATGTCATATCCAGCGTCACATATCCTACCGCACAAAAGAAATACGTGTTGCAATTATGCAGTACAAAAAAAGTGGACATTGTCAGTTACTGCTGGAGCCATTCAATCCAGTTCTTTAACTAGGTATTGAGCCAGTACGCTGCGAAGTGCCCGCCTGTACCACTCGGGTGGATGTGTGACACGGCAAGCGCGCACCCGACCTGGCCATCTGAGCGCTGCAAAGAGCGAACACCGCGCGCGGCGAGGACGCATCACTACTGTACTGTACCTCCTTTCGTCGTGCAGCTTTAAGAACTGAGTCTGCGCAATGGGCTCCCGAGTTTAGTGGTCGGTCTGCGGTGAAAATTAACCAGAAAAGAATACGGAATAAAGGAGAATCATTCTAACCGAGGAATAAACATCATACCCACGGACCAAAGACTGGAAATCATAGGCCGGCTGAGGGTGGATTTTCGGGGACAGTCATGGCGGGGGTGGGAGTGAAAAGGAGGAAAGCGGGGCTCCCTGGTTTCTGCTGGAAAACATGCTATTTTCATATATTATTCTGGGTTGTCTCGATTTGTGGTGAAGAGAAGACCTTCATCGTTGAGGTAGGTCAGAAGCTCGAAACGATATGAAAGGAACCGATTTGAACCGCATGACAACATACCCTTGTCGTTTCTTTAAAAAATGCGTTTGTCTAAAACGCACTGATACTATACTGAAGAGACGAATAATCTCCATTTGTAAAATAGCAGTTATGGTTCGTACAGTGTTATTGTCATATTGTTAATATAAGGTGTATACAGTAACTGCATTTCCCCCCAGATAATAAAATAAGTAATGAGAGACAAATAAACAATTTGGGAGTGAATAGCTTGGCATTGCTGATTCTGGGACTAATTATTTTGTTTTATTGTATGAGCATTCAGCACAAAGGTTACAAAGGTTTTTGTCCATTGTTATGTAGACGTAATTTAGGTTTTACACTAGTATAGGTCGGTGTGTGCTGTGCTCAGCACTGGGATGCTAGACATTCCCATCCCAATCGCTGTCCAGTACATTTGGAAGAAACAGACCGTATTTCCTGGGTGTTCGAGTTCGGTTCAAAATAATATCAAAATATTATTCTTTATTTCAACTTGACATAGCTAAATCATTTCACATCATTTCAGTGTCAGCTGATGAAGGCACGTTAGTTTTACTGACGTGAAATCATTTGTATTGTATGCTACATATTGAGCCATAAATATCATTGTGTGTGTGTGTTCTGTGTGTGTGTGTTCTGTGTGTATGTGTGTGTGTTCTATGTGTGTATATGTGTGTGTGCGTATGTGTGTAAACACGTATTAGATTTTTGCCGTTTATTAAGTTTTGCTCGCAACTACTAGCGTAAATCAGCACCTTCAGAATTTTAGAGATAATACACAAATATAATAACTTGCTCATGTCGTAAATTATTGATTGTCCATATTACATTTTGACCATTACCAGACATGATTAGTGATCAGATTATTTAATACGCACACCTACGATTCACATTTATTAAAAACAAAATAACAATAATCATAATAATTATTACAAGAATAAGACTCCGATATACCCCCGCCTTATGGCCGTTCTTTTCATAGTAAAGAAACATTGCTTTTTTCAACGCAGTTCTTTCATCCTAAGCATTGTGTTTATTGTTTCGGTTAGGCGCTGGATCATATTTCAATTTAGGTAAAATTAATACGAAACATTCTGAAGCACTGCTGAAACAGTCGCTATTACTCTCAAGTGCACAGAACAAAGAATCGGGAAATTTTTCGCTATTCCAAATATAGCTTCATCTATAATTTATGAAAATAGGGGGAGACGGAAGGAGCAGTGGTGACATGTAGAATTAGATTTTACTGTATATTGCCATACCGCGTTTTTCCTGTGTTTTTACGGCCATCCGCTGTGTTAGATGATATGGTACTGACTCTCCCTTTATGATACACAGTGTTTTTTTCCGAAGCGGCGTGGGTATGTCATTGCTGTTGAGTACATAAATGCGTACTGTACATTTAGTTCTGAGGAGTAGGCTGTAGGACTCGTTAAAGCCGAGACTTTATGCATGTGTGCCCGCGTTATTTTATTATGTCTATGTCTGTGGGACACGAAAGGTTGAAAAAGATGCCAAAGATGTTAACGGATGCTGTGCGTGCGTTTATTTATTTATATGCATTTTTCTTGGACAATAGAATGAGTGAGAGCGACTGGACCATGAGTACTGGCAGAGATTTCAACACATCAGTAATCTTGTGTGGCAGTTTCTTTGTTTTTCAACTATATTTATATGAATCTCGCCTAAATGAAATATTAGATAATAAATCAAGATGTTCCATGGACTTGAATATGTGGTTTGGGTCTTCACACCTTCTTTTGTAATTATTAATACAAGATTATCCATTATTAACCTTATGTTCAAATCTGAGTTTAAGTAACGTGATATTACACACATTATTTTAATATGGTAAGCCTGATTTTCTTTATTGCATTGACAATCAAGAGTTGTTTTTTATGAATGGAAAAAAACCATTTTTGCCCAAATAATAAAAGGCACTAGTGAGCTTGAATATGTGAATTTGGTTCTTATTTGTCGGTTTATTTAAAATTGAATTTTAAAAGAAACTACAAATAACTTCTGCTAATAATACATTTTACGACCATTCAGTCTTGCAGTTTAACAAATCAGCAGCAAAACATGAATAATCAGCCTTTATTCTTGGAGCTGACTGTGATTTCTGTGGCGTCTTGTGAAATATTTACTTGTTTTTTTCTCTTGTGTCAGGACTTCTTCGTTAAATAAGGTTCTTTTTCAGCTGGTTTTACCTTTAATGTTCTTAACATATTCAGAGCCCCAAATTTCTATGGAGGTTATCATCATTCAGTACAAAATGAGTCGTATTATGCGTATGAGATGTGCTTTTGGCATGGAAACGATAACAGATGTCATCATAGATATGTAATGGCTTTTTCTGGGTACAGTGTAGACTGGAATCTGTCATCTGTTTTGTACAGTAAGTGTTGTGATTACAGTGCAGAAGTTTATATTTAAGTAAATAAGTATTTCTTAAAGCCTCTCTACATCACTGTGTCAGTATGAAATAAAAATTCCTGTATATACATACACGTGTAAGAATACATATCTTTATGCCAAGGGTACTGTGGAATGTCATCCATTGATGATAACTGATTTTATTAAGTCATTTTCATAAACAGTATAGGATTATACTGAGGATTAATATTTCTTCAACAATGCATGTTGTATAAAGGAACCTTTTGTGTTTCTTTTACATGTTATGAACAAAATCATTACTAGTAATTATTATGCAGATGAAAACTTCTGGCAATGAATGGTAATGCTATACAGGAAATTATAGATTATTAATTAGACTATTTGTATTTACTTAATTTAAGATGTTTTATATTTTTGGCAAGTTCATGAATGTAAAGGAATGCTTTCCCAGAGTGTGCGTCATTCTGAATGGCTGATGCCACAAATAATCTAGACTTCATGGAACAACTGGAAGTTGCTCGTTTATAGAAGTAAAGATTTTTTTTCAGTGAGTCAGTTTGCTCAGTATGTTAAATAATTGTAAAATAATCTCATTTCGGTAGTGCTTAGGAACTGAGATAAACATACTGCGGCACTTTTTCCAACTTTTCTAGATCAGCCGCGACTGGGGGCTGCTTTGAGAGATGGGATAGGATCAGGAGCAGTGATGGGATAGGATCAGGAGCAGTGATGGGATAGGATCAGGAGCAGTGATGGGATAGGATCAGGAGCAGTGATGGGAAAGTGGGTGACTGTCATGGGAAGTCCTGTTAGAATCTTCTCAGATGAGAAGGTCACCGGTGGAAGTGGCACCTTGACAGACAGTGTCAGGATGCGGGCCAGTGAAATAGTGAAATAATGGGGGCATGTTTAACTTTTTTGGGTGCGCATTCATGCCATCTGTGTTATTACTTAAATGTCTGTGCACAAATCCTGCCCCCTTTCGCAAACTGTAGCTGACAGCTTGGAGGAAATAAGCCATTTCAGGAAGCTTTACAAAGTCAAGAGTGTAGAGAGGCAATCAGAAAGCAGGGCATTATGGGTGCTCTGCGGTTACTTGGGAACGTTTTGGTGACGAATTTCTCGCACTTCATCCCGCTGTCATCTAAGAATGTCAGATTGAATTAAAAATCCAGAACTGAATATCTCAAACAGTAGATATTTGAGTTCTGGTACTGGTACTAGATAAACACTGATTGGATCCTGATTGGAATTATGTTCTGTATGCCAATAAAGCTGACACCTTTAATCATTCTGTCTCCGGGGTCTAAACATTAATCAAATGTAGACACATCTCTTGTGTGCATATTCCTATTTCATTTTCATTCTTACTAAATAACCAAATCTCTTTGAGCAATAATGTAGCAATTGCATCTCCTTAAAAGTTATTTGGTTGTTGGAGTTGTGAGTCAATGTTTATGGACACAAAGACAGTTTGGGCACCAGTCTTATATTTGTAATTATAATTGAGTCATAATCTTTGGGTCTCATGGTGGCACACTGCTGCTTCTTACCACCGTGGTTGGGGGTTTGGACCCTGCCTCGACTCCGCGTGTGTGGAATAACATGGGTTTCCTCCCCGAGTCCAAAGACGTACAGTTAAGCTAACTGAATTACCGCTATGAATTGACATGCCTTCCAGGACGTGCTCCTTGCCTTTGGGTTGGCCTCGCACCCCACATGACCTTCTCTAGGATAAACGGTTGGAAGATTGACGTATACATCTATCTAAAGGATCTTGAAAATGTTTGCATTTTGCTTTCTATGTATTGCTCTTCTTTGTTTGTCAGAGGCTTTTAATTATGTCGATAATGTCTGGGATTGTGAGCGTAGGGTGATCTTGGGAATGTTTCACGCAAAGGGTGATAGGGGGCACTCTCCCAGCAGCACGCGCGAATCCAGTTTAATGACATCGATTATTGTTCCTCAGCTACATCTCCAAATTGGCATTGGTTGTTTGATGTGGGTCAACTTGACGTTGATGAGATTAAGACCCCATCGCGTCCGCTGGCCGAGCGAGCGCTATCCAAAAGTCTCTTGACAACAAACGACAAGGAAAGGAGACGGTAGCCCCGACGGCGCGAGTGCGGTGTCTGTCAACACTCTTTTATCAGGAAGATTTTGTGCCTTACTTACCGTTCGGTGTCTCGTGATGGCTGAGTTGCTCAGGCAGGATCAAATGGGTTTCTGGGAAAGACAGAGAGGGATGACTCACTGGGCTAATGTGTTTTTTTTCTCTGAGTGGTCAATAGAATTATGAGATAGGCATCTGGATTTAATCTAATGTGACATTTGTTTTGCTGCGTATTGGGGCGGACAAGCTGGCTGAGGGATCACTATGTAACAAAAGTTCAGTTGTAGTTGACTGCAAGGAGATTGGAAGATAGGATGGAAGACTGAGGAAACCAGGTGTCCAATGATACAACAGGCATTTATGTAATATTTCAACTCTTGGCCTAAATTGCTAAATATATGATATTTAATTCTTGGCATCTTAATAATGATAATATCGTCCACCTGCTGAAT